GAGGAACGTGATTGGTCAAAAGTACGTGATTGGTCAAAAGTAAGCCCCAGGGGAGGAACGTGATTGGCTACTGTGGGCTTACTTTGGGCTTACTTTGGCGGAATAGACGGGATAAAGGAAGCGCAAAGCGAGAGGTAGCGGGATCGATGCCCGCATCCTCCAAACGTTTTTTTTTCCTTTCGCTTAGAATATTATTTTATTTTCTCCTCAAAATGATGATGTCACACCGAGTGTCTCCTTTATCCAGATGTTCTTCTTTTCCATTTGCTTCCTGTATTTTCTGTGTGCTGAACAGAAAATCTCTGCTGTGAATGAAGATGACACTTTGTGAATGATGTACATTTTTACATACTGCTTTTTAAAGAGTGGTGATATAGAAAACATATAATGTGTAAAACAGACCTCGGGATTCAGAGATTCACTCTTCACGTGTTTCTTCTGTTGATAACTGACCTGCAGATTATGAAACTGACACCAACAGTAGTGATATATAGAAGAATTAATGGAAGTGATATTGCACATGATATCGAAATATGTTATATAATATCACCTTAAGAATCCTTTAGAGGATTCTCTGAGTGCTGACATCATTTATCGAGAGTCTTCACGGGGGATTAGCTCAGATGGTAGAGCGCTCGCTTAGCATGCGAGAGGTAGCGGGATCGATGCCCGCATCCTCCAGAGTTTTTAATTTTTTCTCCTGATGATTCATGATTTCTTGACTTTTCAAGACTTCGGTGACGCCAGATAAAAGTCTCCTCCCTCCTGATTTCGAAGCTCTACATCTGTAATTCATGTATTTTGTTTGGAAACGAAGCAATCTCAAACTCTTAATATAAGTTTATGACACCTCTATGAATAATATACATTTTCTTCATGACTTCATGCAGAATAGTTTTGAGTATTCACAACCTGCTCAGCTCAGATACAAGAACAAATTATGTTTTTCTGTTACAGTTTTCTGTAAATCAGATTGTGTGACGTGATGACGTCACACAACCTGTGTTCTCACGGGGGATTAGCTCAGATGGTAGAACGCTCGCTCTACCATCTGAGCGAGCACTCAGAGTGGCCACTTCACTCAATCAAGTTTATGCTCTTGATTGAGTGAAGTGGCCACTCAGTTTTCAGGCCTCACCGCAACCGAGCATCACTACAGGCCTGCAACTAAGTTTCAAGTTGATCATTTCTGAAGTGGGCCCACATGTGATGTTTGTGAGTTAATTTACAGTTGATAGGAATTGTGTTTGTTTTTATTCAGAGACCTGTGAAAGGTAAAGATTTTATTTAACCAGTGAATTAAAGGGTACATTGAGAAGTCATAGGAACAGTTTAAACAATTTAAAGAGACCCTGTATTTTATTTTGTGCATTTATTTTGTTTTGTAAATATTTTACTTCCTGAGAGGAATTCACAGCCTTTTCATTTATTTCCTATTGTAAATAAACACCTGTGAAGGTTTTGACTTTTAAAATACAGTTGTGGTGGTCTTTAATATTAATTAGAGGAATTTAAACAAAAGATAAGATTCGTTTCAAATATTCTTCTGAGATCATATTCATTTTTTTTTGTGTTTACGAGCTCAGGCCC